TATATATATATATGTATGTATATCCATTTTCTTTGAACTCAAAGTTTTTGAACTCAAAGTTTTAGATTGTAGTAGTTGAGTTGAGGTCACACCAGTGCTCAAAGCACAATAAGGTTATGGCTTCTGAACATCTTGGAAAATTCTATAGTTCCAAACTGCTAATTCAGAAATATCCCTAAAGAACCACAAAATCTTTTAATTTTGATTTGCAACTGAAATGCTACTACAAAAGACCTGGTAATACAAAGAAGAACAAATGCAATAGTGGGGATGCTCTACAGCTCTGCTAGGGAAGAGATTAGACGTGAACGCTTAATAAATTTTTCTTTCCCCTTCTTTTTCCAGGTCCTTCTTCGGACGATTTTCACATTCTTCACCCCACACTTTCACAGGAATTAGCTGTTCTTTCTAATAGCCCTGTAACCCTGGAGTGTGTAGTGAGGGGTGTCCCAGCTTCTCAAGTATACTGGTTGAAGGATGGCCACGATGTTGTGCTGGGAAGGAACTGGAGGAAGTTGTATTCTCATCTTGCCACAGATAGCATTGATCCAGTGGACTCTGGAAACTATTCCTGTGTGGTGGGAAACAAATCTGGAGACCTAAAGCAGGTGACTTACATGGTGAACGTTCTTGGTAAGATGCTGTTTGCTACAGTCCCTCCTGCCCCCCACCCCCACCCCAAAATCAGGCTGTTTTGTTAGTCTAATGGATGTTTGAATGGAAGATCTGTTTGTAAACTAAAAATAAGATAGAATATCTAGAAATAACTATAACAGTAGCAGAATAAGCTTTTATTTTTCTTAAGGACTATTGAATTTAGGCAGTATTTCTGGGTGGCACAGAATATCATTTCACATGAGATATTCTTGGGAACTTCACCCCCAGCTGGTTATGTAATGCAGAGCTTGTTCTCTGTTCATGGCTTGGGAGAAAGGGACTGGAAATAAGTAGAATAATGATGAGACATTCTGGGCTGTGTTAGTGTGTAGTATCTAGGAGGCAGAAGAAAGACACAGTACTGGCTAGTAAATGCCATCTCAGAAAGAAATTGATTTCTTCTTATTTTCCTTTTGAGATACTTTCACCTATATTTGGCTCATAAAATTTGCATTATTTCTACTCCTACTTCTCTATACAATATTCGCTGTCTCAGAGTTATTCCTTTGTTTTCTTCCAGCTATCTATCTCACCATCATGTGTGGTAGCAGTGAATGCTTTCCTCTATCAAAACATATTTTCATGAAAAGCAGGAGAAAAATGACTAAGAACTAGATTCTGACTCATAGCGACTCTTCCTTGGGTTTCTAAGTGTTATCTCTATGGAAGTAGATTGCTCAGTCTTCCTTCCAAGGAGTAGCTTTCTGCCTTAGGCACGATGCCACCAAAGCTCCTAGAGTCATAGTAAATATAATTTTTCTAGATCATCTGCATGTGTTTATTTCCAACACTGACCTGATGTAGGTCACCAACAGTGATATTAATCTAAGTGTATGACAAATAGACTTTAAAATTCAGTGGTAATCAGAATGGGTACACATAATCATTTGATTTGGGCATACACTACAAATGTTGGTGAATGATGAGTGTGTAGATAAAAAGTGACATTAAAGGACTTAAAGGATGTTTTCTGCATAGTATATATACCTAAACTCTAAGTAGAATTGACCTTTGAATGAACATTTTTCTGTTTTGGCTCTTAATGTAAAATCCAGGAAAACTTACTTTATTTCAAACAAGTTGCCTGAAAGAAATGCTGATAGAAGCCCTGAATTTAAAAAAGTGTGTATGTTTGCGTATGTGTGAATATTTGTGTGTTTTAGGGAGAGGTAAGTGAATGGGTGGAGTGAGTTATAAAAAAGGCACTATAGCTTATTAGTAACATATGGTTTATCCTATTAGAGGAACATTAAAATTCATTTCTCATTTTTTCTTGATGACCACAGCTGGGAAGATGTGAATAAACAATGTAACTTGGTTTCAACTGGTTATTGGTATAGAGAAGATTTTGTATGATTCCCACGATAACTTAAAAAGTGTGCCAGTAGGGTTTAATTTGTGTGTTTTATTTTCAGAACATGCTTCAATTTCTAAAGGACTGCAGGATCAGACAGTGTCTCTGGGTGCCACAGTACATTTTACCTGTGATGTCCATGGGAACCCAGCCCCCAACCGTACCTGGTTTCATAATGCACAGCCTATTCATCCATCCCCACGACATCTAACTGCAGAAAATGGGCTGAAAATCAGTGGTGTTACTATGGAAGATTCTGGGCTATATCAGTGTATAGCAGATAATGGAATTGGATTTATGCAATCTACTGGGAGACTTGAAATTGAAAAAGGTAGGCTTTTAGATCCTGTGATGTAGGAAATTTTACTTTATCAGTAGACTTTTGTTATGGCTAAGAATGAAATCATTTTTATTAAGAGAAAATAATCCTCTCACCATAACTGAACTGTATTTATTTCCCATGTTTTTTCCCCCTGGTTTCATATAGACATTTTCCTGTCAAGTTCATTTTTTAAAAAATTTGAAAAAATTTTTTGACAGATGCTATATGGTTTAAAATGTCTCGCTCTCACTCTGTTCCTCAGCTAGCTAGCTCCCTTCTTCAGAATTAACTAGTTTGATCAGTTTCTTGAATATCCTTGTATATGTATATAAACATGTATCAAATTAGTTAATTCTGAAGGGAGCTAGCTATGTAAAAGCATTTTATAAAACTAAGGAGCTCTGGTAGCATAGTGGCTAAAGCACTTGACTGCTAACCAGAAGGCTGGCGGTTCAAACCCACCAGCCACTCCTCGGAAGGAAGGTTGGGCAATCCTACTTCTGTAGTGATACTGCCTCGGAAACCCAAGGAGGGGTCGCTATGAGTCGGGGCTGACTCGACGGCACATAACAACAACAACAACAACAACAACACCTGCTTTTCCACATAAATGGCAATAGCATTCTTTACCTCAAATTTTCACTTAACATATATGTTGGCTGTCTTCCCATATGGTCAATAAAAAGGTGTTTTCATTCCTGCTTTAAATAACTGCTTAGTATTGTATTGTATAGTTGTAATGATATGACTGGTACCTTATCGATGGCCTTTTCTAATCTTTTGCTTTTATAAGAAGATGTATAGTAAATATCCTTCTATGTAGATAATTTTTCACATATATATATGTAGATAATTTTTCACATAAGTATCTAAGGGGAAAAGACCTAATGAGATGGATTGATACAGTGACAGTTACGATGGGCTCAGGTACAGCAAGGATTTTGAGGATGGCGCATGACTGGGCAGTGTTTTGTTCTGTTGTACATAGGGTTGCTATGAGTTGGAGCTGACCCCACAGCACCTAACAACATAAAATATATTCCTAGAAATGAATATACTGAATGAAAAAAGCATATGTGAGTAGACAGTTTTGATAGGTAATGTTGTTGTTGTTGTTTGCCATCAAGTTGGACCCACTCATAGCGACCTCTCCTTGGGTTTCTGAGGCAGTATCACTATGGAAGTAGATTGCCCAATCTTCCTTCTGAGGAGTGGCTGGTGGGTTTGAACCCCCAGCCTTCTGATTAGCAGTCAAGTGCCTTAGGCACTATGCTACCAGGGCTCCTTTGATAGATAATAGCAGTTGTTATCAATAATTGTTTACATTTATACTCCTACCAGCAATGTATAACAATGTCTGTTTCCCCCCCACAATATCACCAAGGCAAGGCATTGTTATTATTTATTTTAAATCTTTGCCAATCTCGTAGGTTAAAAAAGTTCCCCCCTCACACTCTACTCTTTTCTCCTCCCTGTGACTACCCCCTCCCTGTGCCCTTCTCATCTATGCATTCCTGTCTGTCCAGCTTTCCCTCTATGTGAATGCTGCCCCTCTAGTGTCTCATGGCTGATTGAGCTAAGGGGGTGCACCTCCAAAGAGTAGGTGGGTGCATTGCCCTGGGATAGGTATTCTGCTTATAGGTGTTTCTACTGTTGGGCTGAGAGCCAATCCCAAAGGGTAACCTGGGGCCATAGTCTCGGTGGTCCCAACATTCTCTATCGGACTAGTAGTTCTGGTCATTTTGTGTATTTGAATTTTGTTCCACATTTTTCTTCCCACTCTGTCCAGGATCTCCAGTTTTGATCCCTTTCCAAGGGGTTGGAATTGGTGGCCAGGCACTATCTAGTTCTTCTGGTCTTAGGGTCCATCTTATCTTTAGACTAACTGTTTCCAGGTGACTTTGATTTTCTTCACTCTTCTTTGCTCCAGATGAAAGGAGATCAGATGTTCTTGCCACTAGATGGCCACTCAAAAGCTTTTAAGATCCCAGTCACTGCTCACCAAAGTAGGGGAGAATAAGATTTTTATGTACTATGTTGTGCTAGTTGAGCATGATGTCCTCCAAGACTATGGTCCTGAGTCCGCAGGCCTGGTGATTCTCTCTCTCTCAAGGTATTTGGTTGTCTCTAGGAAGTTACTCCAACCCTGTCTTCTGTTGCTTCTGTAATGTATGTATAGCACAAGTGCATATGTAAGATTATCTTCAGCCAAATCTATCCTTGGTCTGGTGTATATTCCTGTTTGCCTACCTGCACCTGATCTTCTCACCTGTCTATGCATTTACCTGTAGCCTAGTGTTTGGTGCCAGTGGTAATGCAGTATTGTGCATGTAATAGTATTTGCCTCTGTTGTCTGTATCTTTTGTGCATGTTTCAGTGTCTTTCCTTTCCCCAGTGTCACCATACTGGTCCATAGACTCTTTCCATACTGTCCCTCCCCTCACCTAAATCAACATGTGACCGCCAACTAGTTCAAAATTTTCCCTTCCCTTCCCTCCCATCCCTGGTAAACAACAAAGTGAATTTCCTTCCCTGAGTAAACTTTTCCTTGGCTTTTTACAATAATAAGCTCCTACAATATTTGTCCTTCTATGATTGACTTATTTCACTCAATATAGTAGCTTCCAAATTTATCCAGGCTGTGAGATGATTCATGTATTCTTCATTATTCTTTGCATGGTATTCCACTGTGTGAATGTACCATAGTTTGGTTATCCATTCATCTGAGCATTTAAGTTCCTCTTTGCTATAATGAATTGTGCTGTAAAGGACATGGGTGTGCATATGTCTATTCATGTCCCGTCTCTCACCTCTTTAGGATATATTCCTGGTAATGGAACTGCTGGATCAAATGGTATCAAAAAGTACCTTTTAATCTATTTTTCTTTTATTATGAGTAAAGTTAAACATTTTTCATATATTTATGAGTCTTTGAATTTGTTTTTCTTTACATCAACTTGTGACTATCTTTTGCCTATTTTTTTTTTAAACTATTGTTTTTATGTGCCATCAAGTCAGACCCGACTCATAGCAACCCCTCCTTGGGTTTCTGAGGCGATATCAGTACAGAAGTAGATTGCCCAACTTTCCTTCCGAGGAGTGGCTGGTGGGTTTGAACTGCCAGCCTTCTGGTTATCTTGGCTACTTAAAAGACATATTCTAGACTGAGCCTTGTCACACACAATGTGGTGCTTGAATTAATATGATGGTCATTACTGAGAGACTGCTGGAAATTCAGAGTCAAACTCTTCACCCTAGACCTAGTAATCAGATTCTGCATTTGAACAACATTCCCAGACAATTGTTATGTACATCAAAGTTTGAAAAGCATTAATCTAGATAGGATTAATATGAAAATACTGAAAAAACCACCTAAACTCACTGCCATCAAGTTGATTCCAACTCATAGTGACTCTCCCCGCTGTCCACCCCGGGTTTCCAAGGCGGTACTAGAAATTTAAATGTATTGGGTTTGGTGGTGTTTTGTGCTGTAAAGTCAATTCTGCCTCGTAGTCTTTTGCCTATTTTAAAAATTAGTTTCTTCATCTTTTTTCTTATTATATAGAAGATGAATCAATAAGAAAATTTATGGTATAAGTTATAAAGGATCCCCTGGGTGGTACAAATGACTAAAATTTCTTATAACCTAACTTCAGAAGTCATGCTGTATCACTTTCATGCTTTTTATCAGTCAGAACTGATTCACAGAGAATGCAGAGTCAGAGGAAGAGAATTACATCAGAGTGTGCATACTGGAAGGTGTAGTTCATTGGAGACCATCTTTGGAGATTAACTACCAAATACACCCCTCAATTTTTGATAGATTAAACAGAAACACCTCCCCCACCTAAAAAAAATTCTGTATAGGTACAGAAGATTTGCACTATATACAGTTTAGAGTATTGATTTATTGGACAGCTATAGAAAACTGCACCTAATAATTACAGATTACGTATTTATTCCCAAGCATACATGGAATATTATAACAATAAATCATCTAGTCAACTAGGCCCTAATGCAATTCTTAAATTTCATAGAATCAATAGATCAATCACTGTCTTTAGTGCAGTTAATTTGGAAGTTAATAATAAATATTTCTTTTAAATCACCATATATTTGGAAATTTAAATTTAAATCATAATGGAAATCTAAAATAATATGAACTGAATGGTAATGAAAATGCCAGGATTCAAGTTGTGTAGAATGTAGCAGAAATGAACCTTAGAATGAAATTTATAGCTTTAAATACTTATAAAAGAAAATTAGGAGAAACAGCATAATAAATTCAAAGAAAGTAGAGAAAGAAGAAAATAAAGAGAAGGGCAGATATCAACTAAATAGACAAGACAGATAAAGTAGAGAGGATTAATAAAGATAAAAGTTGTTTTTTTAAAAACCTAATAAAGTGGAAACCTTTGGCAGAATTGACAAAGAGAAGAAAAAGCATGTACACATAAACAGTATTAGGAATATATAATAGGCTATAAGCACAAGTTCTATACAGATGAAAAATAATAAGAAAAAACTGTGATAAAATTTATGCCAGTAATTTACAAAGATAGACAAAAATGGACATTTTCTTAGGAAAGGTATAACTTGGCAAAGCTGACTTAAAATAAATTAAAAGTCTGATAGTCCTACATCTATGAAAGAGACTGAGTTAGGAGTTAAACATTTCCTACAAAGAAAACAACAGGCCAGATGGTTTAATAGAGGTTCTGCCAAACTTATCCCACCACTCGTCTGTGGTTTGTTGTACTGTGGTGGCTTCCATGTTGCTGTGAGGCTGGAAGCTATGCCACCAGTATTTCAAATACCAGCAGGGTCACCCACGGTGGACAGGTTTCAGTGAAGTTTCCAGGCTAAGACAGACTGGGAAGAAGGATGAGGACATTCACTTAAAAAATTGGCCAGTGGAAATTAGCAGTGAAACAATGGCTGATATATTACTGGAAAACTTTAAGAACAGTCCCGAAACATTGTTTGATATAGTGCCTGTTCTGGTTACC